CTATGTAGTTCAGGCTGACCTTGAACTCACTATGTAGCCCAGACTGGCCTCAAATTTGTGGTAATCCTCCTGCCTCAGCCTCCCAAGTGCTGGGATTATAGATGTGACCACCATGCCCAGTTTCATCTTGTCCATTTTCCTCTCCCTCTTAGTCTTCGTATTCCTCACCACCCAAATATTATCCCTATATTTCCAGCCACCTTATGGAGTCCTGTATGGTGGGTCTAGATTTGGGTTTCAAATGGAAGGAGGTGTCAGAGACCATGTGTCTTTGAATGAGTTACTTCACCTCTCTCTACAATAAGAATACTAACATCTACTCTAAGAGTCATTGTTACAAAGAAAGATTGAATTAAATGCAATAATTTTTTTCAGTACTGGGGATTAAACACAGGAACTTCACACTGAGTTACATCCTCAGTCTCTTTTTTATCTTCAGACAAGGTCTTCTAAGCAGCTAAGTTACCCAAGCTGGGCTCAAATTTGCAATACTCCTGCTTCAGCCTCCCAGAGCACTGGGATTATAGGCATCCTTGGCCTAAATGTAATACCACAAAGCTTAGGGAAGAGCCTGACTGTGGATTATTTAGTTACTCAGTTCAGCAGCCTGTAAACAAGTTGTCATAATAGCAATAACAGAATGACAATCTCTTTGGCATCATTTAATCTATAGTGGACAGGAAGCTAGGGGTTTGACATGAATCGCCTCCTTCAATCCTCCAGTAACTCATCAGGTAGATGCTGTTGTTATTTCCCATCTTACAGATGAAGAGTCTAACACTAAGCCACAGAGGAGCCAAAGAGCTTGGCTGTAAAGAACAAAGCTAAGATTTCAGACTTTGTAAGTGCCCCTCACATCAGAGGATGGTCCTGGGGGCCCTGGTGGCTGAACAGCCTTCTCAGGGTTTAGGGAAGGGCATGAACAGGTGGGCTCTGGGCTGACTGCCAAGCATGAGGTCTTTAACCCACACACATGGGATACAGGCTGAGGTTGTGTCTCAGTCCATTGTGTGTTACTATAACAGACTACCCCAGAGTGGGTACTTGATAAAGAAAATAAATTTATTTCTTAAATTTCTGGAGGCTGGGAAGCCCAAGGTTAAGGGGTCCCCAACTGGTGGGGACCTGTTTCCTGTGTCATCCTAGTCAAAGAGGGAAGAGCAAAGAATAAGCATGTGAGAGAGAGAGAGGAAGGAAGAAGGCCGCACTTATCCTGTTGCACCAAACTGGAACAGCTCAGTGTTAAAACCAAGTGCTACAGCTCAAGTGCTACAGCAATTTGAAGACTCAAGAATCCAAAAGTTACTTGAAGAGATGGAGAAAAACCTTTATTAGCCAGCTGGCTCAGAGGAGCTTGTCCACTCTGAATTCTGAGCACCAAACAGAAATGGAAGCAGGCTTATATAGAGATCTACGGGGTAGGGGGGTGGGCCCACATACTGGGTGAGCATGCTCACAGAAGCAGAGGGGGTGGAATTATCAGAACATTCTTGAAACACGTGGTAGGAATATCATGCAGCTCAAACAGTTACAGAACATTTTGATACATTGGGCAGGAACATCCTGCAGCACAAATGGTTACATTTCTGGAAAAGAACATTTTATGGAAAAAAACATGGAGGCAAAGGCAAAGGCTGGCCCTATTGTATATTATTGTTTTATCAATCTTTGTATCAGGAGCCACTCTTGTGTTCCTGGCCTTAATCCAGCAGAGAAGGCAGAGCCTTCAGGATTTAATCCTTGTAAAGATGCACCTCTCAGCACAATTGCATTGGATATCAAGTTGCCAACATGTGAACTTTAGGGGACACATTCAAACTGTGGCAGGTGGGGGGCATCTTGGCAGGACACCCCAAATTCTGCCACTCCCTCTCCCATAGGTTCTACAGGTATATCTGGCAGACAGTGAGGAGCAAGGCTTCTCTTGCTCACAGCCAAATCCAGGCCCTCTTCATGGCTCCCTGGACACCCGCTGTAACCTCTCAGCCAGTGTCCCTGCCCCTAACTCCTTCCCACCATACTTGCCAGTGGTCTCATCCTGTCACCACACCACAGATCTTGACTCTGTTAATACTGCACCTCAGAACCATGGGCAGCCACAAGATCAAGGCTGAGTTCTATTTGTGGGAGGTGCCATTGAATTCAGACAGAACTCAATTCAAATGCCAGCTCTACCCTTCCCAAGGATGCTAAGCCTTGGTTTCCTGGTGTATGGAATGGGGATAATGAATGGAGATGAAGATCTCAAGAGCTTAGCAATTTCCTAGGTGGCCAGGGCTCTACTCCAGCCCCTCCCTTCTTCCCCCTTGCAGCCACCCTAGGACCTTGAGCCTTTGTTTCATCTAGGTCCTCAGATCCAATGCCCATTTCTGGGACTCATCCTGAAATATGTGAAGTAGTATCTGATCCAAACTTTCAGCCCACTTCTTCCAGTCCTTTCCTATCAGGAAAGTCTTCAAAGCTCCGTATCACCTCAGCTACAGTGCACTGATTGGCCCAGCTGCCAGGTCTTGTGCTCACATTGCTCTCGTGTGGCTCAACCTAGAGAGGACAACAGGACAGCTGGCCCTGCTGTGCTTCTTCAAGGGAAGGACCACTGTCCCCTGCACTCAGCCAGGCACAGCTCTGCCTCCTTCACCTTCTGCTCTTTCCCCGGGTGCTCACTTTGGCCCCCAACCCTCTGCTCCTTCTCATCAAGGCCCTGCCTCACTGAGCAGAATGCAGGAGAACTCTCAGAGGTCACCTTGGCCAGGTTCCCCAGATGTTAGGGATTCTCAGATGATTGTTGCTATTCTTATCATATCTGCATTTTTATCTGTTCTATTATTTCCTTGATTTATTTGTTTATTTTGTTGACTCATCTGTTTTTACCTTAGGGAAATCTGATATCACTACCTTATGGATAAACTCTCTTATTAGACAGGATGAACATAACAAGACATATTTGAAAGAAGATGGACAATGTCCATTCTTGTGTTGCCTGTGGTGTGGCTGCATGGGGATAAGAGATAAAGTCAACTCCCCGCTTCTCAGACAGAAACACTGAGGCCAGGAGAGGGCAGGGTCGGAGCTGAAGTGGGGATGGAGGTGGGGTCTGGGGTCCTCTCACTTTTCTGCCTCTTCCTCCTCTGTTTTTCTCTTCTTCCCCTCTGCTTCCTGCCCACCTTCTTTCCTGGATCTGCTTTCTATCCTTGCTGTCTCCTGCTCCCTCTTCTCTTGCCTTCCCTTCCCTTCCCTGCCCCCTTTCTCTTTCTCTCTCTGCTTTCCTAGAACCTTCTCTTCTTCCCACTCTTACTTAAATCATCTTCTAGCTGTTGGATTCCAGCCCTTGAAGAGGAAGGCTGCAGATTCCTATTTGGGAGCCAGCATAATTGTTCCTGTGATAGTTCATTGTCTCTTTCCCTTCATAAGATTGCCTTTTCCTCCTTGTAAGGCAAGGTTGGCAATCCCTGCATTAACTGCCTCCCTAGATGGACCATGAAGACTGGATGTTCTTTAAAGACCTTGGAAAAACCCCTAAAGGGTGTTACTAATCTGGGGTGCAGCCACTCACCCCAGCCCTCCCACCCGGTGACCTTCAGGCAGCTCACTCTGCACCATTGTGAAAGTGGGCATCTGTCCTGCTCACCCCTCCCTGCTCTTCTCTGCCCAGCTGTCCTTTCTCCTCCACTTCCTCCTCCTGCCACATTCCACTCAGTGCCCACTGAGTCACAAAACCCTGACTGACAAAGGCCCTTGGCCTTTGAATTGTTGAAGAGCAGAGGTCAGGATTGGGTCATAAAACACAGTGATGAATGTGTGTATCAAGGGCTTTCCCATAAATTTTCTCATCGTATCCTCCCTGATTTCTAAGGCAGATGACAATTGTCACTGCTGCCCGAGGAGGAGCCTCCAGCTCCTCCAAAGAGGGACAGGAGCAAAAGCTAGTGAAATGCTCAGTTGGGCACTTAGTATTTTCCACTCCATAAATAAAGGCAGTGAGATCGGGCACTTGTTGGCCTCCTCGACTTTGGTCTTGTCTCCATCTGGGCACCAGCCTACTGGCTCCTCTTTGTGTGAGTGCTGTCCCGCTTATGCTTGGCACAAACCTTTTCAGCGTCTCTGGTACAATGTCTCAGAGCCAATTCATCCTACATTCATTCTGCAAACACTGTCCATGGGACAGGTGATCTGCTTGGAACTCAGTAGGAATGGAAATGGGACCTTGACCAAGATGTTCTGCTCAGGTAGTAGACAGAGACACCTTCCCAGCCAGGGCATGTGTTTCCTGGAAGCCTGGAAACAGTGTAGGTCATGGCAGACTTAGATTCTGGATCCTCCAGAAGACATTGGTCAAAAGCTGCCCTGGGAGTGTATGTTTCCGGACACTTCCCCCTTTCCTAGAGCCTGTACTGTCTGTCAAGAATGCAAGACTGCTAGGACCCAGTGCGTGCCAATATCCAGATTGAGACTGCAGAATTGGTGGGCTCTGTGTCCAGTCTTGGCCCCCGTCATTGTCTATATACACACATGGTCACATATCCTTCTCCCTACTAGAAGCCTGCAAGGGCCTGACACATGGCATATACCTAATGAGTTTCATTCATGAATGAATGATTGAATGAATGGATGAAGATGAGATAACTCTACCCATTGGCAGCTGAAGAAACTGAGGTTCAGAGAAGTGAGTGACTTACCCAGGATCCCACAGGAAGTGAGCAGCAGAGCCAGGATCATCATCAGCCTCTGACTATACCCCCAAAGCTTTGACACTTGGCCCAGGAGGGAGCTGGCCCTCTCTCCAAGCTCCTTCTGGAGTAGTCCCCCCAAGAACCCTGACTCAGCTGGACAACAATTGGGCAACATTTCCTCTTTCTAGACCACAGGACTTTCAAGGGAGCCTAGAGGGGGAGGGAAGCAGATACATGCAAGTGTCTCCCTAGCTGCTCCTATAAAGGATAGAGGGAGGAAGGTTGGGGTGCTTTGCAAGGAAGTGGCTGTCTCCTCCTGCACCGCAGCTCTGAGTCCTGAGCAGCCACTTCTCTCTCCAGGCCATGGCAGGCCCCATGACCACTGCAGCTGGCCTCCTGCTCCTGGCCCTTTTTGTTCACTGCATCATGCTCACAGGTGAGACGTGCAGACCCGGCCCAGGGCTCTGGGTGCAAGGGTGTGGCTGGGTTGGCACCACAGAGGGTGGAGGAGAAACAGCTGGGGCAGCCGGTGAGTGGGGGTGGGGCTGGTGCAGGGCTGAGCTCCACGGGAAAGGACACAGCTCTTCTTTCTGTCCCCTTCCAGACTCCGTGGTCATCCCCTCTTCCTGTTGTATAACCTTTGTTCCCAAGAAAATTCCCAAGGGCCAGGTGGTGAGCTACCAGTTGTCCACCAGGGGCGTCTGTCCTAAGGCGGGGGTGATGTGAGTATTTCTCCAGGGCAGGGGCTGGGGCAGTGAGCCTCCAGGGTCAGCTCTGCAAAAGGCACTTGGCTTCTCTGAGCCTCAGCTTCCTCAGCCATAAAACGAGGAGGAAAATTTAATTCAACAGTCATTGCTGGGGCGCTAAATATAAACAAGGGCGCTGCTCCAGAGCACAAGACACCTTTGTAACAAATCCGATTAGCAGTCCCCCGGGGGAAGTGTGATTGCTCCCATTCTCGGAGGAGAACTGAGGCTCAGAAAGGAGACTTGCTCAAGGTCACACGAGTAGCCAGGTCTCTGGGTTCTTGATGATTTCAGAGCTGGCTTTTACACAAGGTAGCAGTGGGCTCACTTTGTAAACAGTGGCACGCTATAGAGCCGTGATGGCGAATCTTTTAGAGATGAGTGCCCAAACTGCAACCCAAAACTCAGTTATTTATCCCCACGTGCCAACACTGCAACGAAACCTGAATACCGAGGTTTTAGTGTAGAAAAAACAACTTATACATTAACATCTTTTGTCTTAAAAGAAATACACAATAACATCCATGCCATAAGTTTACTACCACTGCAACAGAGCATTGATATTTATGGTTAATTTTCCCTGAGTGGCATGAGATTGGATTCCGTGGCCTGGCACCTCCAGTTCAGAGCTGGCTTGGAGAGCTGGCACCCACCCTTCCCTCCCAGTCTGGCATCCTCGCTGGCCACACCTCCATGCAGAGCATGAGCATTGGTGGCATTTTTATTCTGGTGCATTTTATTGCATTTTCTTCTCTTCCCTATGCACAGGGACTGTGTCCCTTCTGTCAGATCCTGTGTGACAGAGAGGTCCCTGAATGAGCCTAGCATCCCCCACCTCATCATTCTTCCTCCCAACACTAAAACAGACACCCACTAGAGGAGAGGAGACAGTGTCCAGAACCCACTAGGAGGCCAGTCTCCTGCCCCCATAAAGTATCACCATCCCAGGGCCCTGCCTGACCTCAGGCGAGCCCTGCCCTTCTTCCCCACAGCTTCACCACCAGGAGAAGCCAGAAGTTCTGTGGCGACCCCAAGCAGCTGTGGGTGCAGAGGTACATGAGGAATTTGGATGCCAAGCAAAAGTGGCCCTCTCCGCGGGTCCGGGCCATGGGTGGCAAGGTCCCCGTGCAGAGACGCCACGGAAACAGCACCACCCTCTAGTCGCTGCCTGCCCTCTTGCCCCTCACATGGCTCCTTGGGGCCAGAGGAGTCAGAGGGAAGGGGCAAGAACTGATTTTCCTGCAGTGAGTCTCACTCCCAGGGGACATGTCCAGTCTGTGAAATCCTGGAGGGAATAGGCTGTCCCCTGGGGGAGAGAGGGCAGAGCCCAAGTACAGGGCCTGAACACCCCGTGCCTGTAGCACGTCTTGTCTGCACTGCAGCTGGCTCCGATGGCCCCTGGTGTTGCTCTGCAGTGGGCCTGAGGCCATCTGTCCATCCTTTGGGGATGCAGTCCTGTCCACAGCAGCAGCTCCCCGGCACAGTGTGGATGCCCCAGGCTGCTCCTACCTCTAGCACTTCAAGTCAACATAAACCCAACCAAATCAGGGGACATCTCTGTAGCCAGATTCTGACCCTCCTTGGATGCCTCCCAAATTTTCAGGAACTTTTGTAAAGAAAAGGACATAGAGGACCAGCGTCTCACTAGCTAGTTCAGGCTGGCCTTGAAGTCGCCAGCCTGTGAAGATGGGACTTCAAGGAGAATTCTGCTTGGTGACAGGCTTGCTCCTGGCTTCTTTGAGGACAAAGACCTGTTCTGCCTTTACTACTAGGCTTTCCCCACATTGTCATGAAAGGAAGATGGGGTGAGAGCTGAGGGAGGAGAAAGACTTCAGCTTTTTTTTCTGTGCATGAGATACAGTGGGATTTGTTTGTCAAGAGAGCAGACACAGTCACTGTTGTCAAATAAGAACCCTAGTAAAATCTGATGTCTTCTTTGAAGGCAGTTGTGTCTTGTCTGTTCATATAACTCTTGGGAGCAGGGTTGGGCGTGAACAGTGGAACAGTGCTGCAGAGGATGTCCTGGGCCACCTGTCCCGGCTGGGAGGGGAGGAAGTCACCTGAGCCCAGGGCACCCTACCATGGGCTTGGCCTGCCCTTGAGAGTGCAGGCACAAGGCTTAAAAAGGAAAATTCCAGGGCTGGGTGGATAGCTCACTGGTAGAGAATTTGCCTAGCATGTGCTAAGGTCCTGGGTTCACTCCCTAGCAATGCAAAAATGAATAAAAGGAAAATTCCTTATACCAACTCAATTTATTGTTTTGTAGAAAGCATTGTCAGATTAGGGATGTTCTCCTTTTGGATGTGTTTTTTTTGGGGGGGGGGTTGTTTTTGCTTTTTGATTCCGGGGATCGAACTTGGGACCTTGGGCTTTTGAAGCAGGTGGCAGAACCACTGAGCTAAATCACCAGCCCTTCAATTTAGTAAATTTTATTTGACCAAATAAAGAAAAAAATTACTTGCAAATCTAGCAGCTCTCAGAAACAAAGCAGATTCTGAGAATTTCAACCAACAAGTTGATGTGATGGCATTTTTAGAAAAACAGAAGTGAGGTATAGAAAACAACTTAATTGAGCTGGATATAGTGGCACCCGCCTGTACACTGAAGGCTGAGACAGGAGGATCACCATGAGTTCGAGGCCAGTCTGGATTACACAGGGAGACCCTGTTTCAAAAAAAAAGAAAGAAAAGAAAAGAAAAAGAAAACAATTTAATTGGGTCCAGCTTAGTCAAAGAACCAGTCAGTTGGATACTGCTGCTTAACTAGTTCATTGTTCAGTTAGTACATATTGGCTACAGAGCCTCTTGCAACTATTATAGCAGCTGAGTAAGGTGGAAATATTATAGGCAATCAGATAGGGGTGGGCCCTCAAGAGAGTCAGGACAGAGGTAAAACACATTACAACTGTGGACAGAGACACATCCGCTGGAGACCAGGCCTCAGGATAAAGATGAAATGACCAGGCCTGCATACTTCCCCAAAGGACAAGATAAGTGGAAACACCTGACCTAATGAAGTCTAGATAGACTTCAGTCACTCCGGTAGGTGACCAAGACCTCCAGACCCATCATTTCCTAGAAAAAGTCTTTGTTCTTTCCATGCACACTTATTACGTGACTTGTTTCCCTATTGGACCACTATTATCTAAGCGATTATACTTGTAACATTGGTTGATCATGGCTGTGGCCTACATTGTACCCACATGATTTTTGCTCTATAAAACTTCCCTAAAAAGTGGGACCCTCCTGCCTCTTAGGAGCTATTTTCTCAATAAATATTTTCTACTTTTTTTTTCCCCCCTCGGTACTGGGGATTGAACTCAGGACCTTGTGCTTGTGGGGCAGGCACAGTGCCACTGAGCTAAATCCTCGGGCCTAATATCTCCTACTCCTAACCTCCATTATTCCTAGAATTCATTCTTCCATTTTAGAGAACATGAACTCAGCATATCAGACATGTAACAGGTTGGGAATTACGATATTTCTCTTATATCATTAGAAGGTCCTATTTCATCTCCTATATCATCCTTGTGTCACACCCACCCATAGCTCAGTTACTGGGACAAAACTGTATTGAGTTGGTCTGTTAGGCCCCGAGAAGTTGCCAAGTTCAAATCCATGGCCTCCTACAAAATTTTATTTGATTCAGGTTTAATATCCCTTATCCATAATGCTTGAGAGTGGAAGCATTTCAGACTTTGGAGTTTTTCAGCTTTTTGCATATTTACATAGACTTTAACTTGCTGAATATTCCCAATCCATCCCCAAATCCTATATTTCATTGCATTTCAGATTTTGGATTTTTTGGATTAGGGATGTTTGACCTACATGAATTTTGAAAAACACAGATTATACAAATGTATTTGATTAAATTTTTATAAAATTCCAGTAAAGCATATTATGTATTGCACAAAGAGCTGTTACAAGCATGAGGAGGTTATAAAATTATAATTGATGATCTCTGGCTTTTAAAGGATTGGAGAGAAAAATAATTCACACTCCCAAATCAAGAATGCTGTGGAATTAATGCCAACGTTGACTATTTTTTGGTTTTTGTTTTTGAAACAGGGTCTTGCTATGTAGTTCAGGCTGGCCTTGAACTCACTATGTAGCCCAGGCTGACCTCGAATTTGGGGTGATCCTCCTGTTTCCTGAGTGCTGAGATTACAGGCATGCACCACCCCACTGAGTCTAAAGAGAAATTCTTTTCCTACACTCACACTTTTGAAATCGAATGTGTGGAATGTGTGCACCACACTATTCAAATTCTCTGTGGGCACCAACTGGGTCTTCTACAGTTTAATGCAGTTATGACCCTACTTAGATTTGGCCTTTCCACAAGGAGAGGGCCCAAGCGGCAGGCCCCAATTCAGACTCCAGTTGCGAGAGTTGGGTGCCCAGGGTCCCCACGCTTTTATCCATTTTGGTGTCCTACGACCCCCTCTCAGCTTGTTAACTGGCTTCACTTAAGGCTGATCAAGGTTATAAATGAGGAGCCAGGTGAGGAAGTAAATAGGGCAATGTCCACAAGGGCTGTCCCCTCAGGAACTTCCTCCCCTGTGGGATTGGGGGGCACTGTCCTCCTGAGACTTGAATGCTTCCACAGCCTGGAGGCTCTCCACCTCCGCCATTTGGCAAGGTTTGTTTTTATTTTTGTTTTGGTATGGGGGATTGAACTCAGAACCTTGCACTTTGCAGGCAGGCGAGGTGCCACTGAGCTAAATCCCCAGCCCTTGTTTGGAGAGTTTTATGGAGGCTCCAGGGGACCTAGGTGCTCATGTGAGACTCTCCTGTCACCCAGGAAATTACCAGGGTTTTGCAGCTCTGTGTCAGAAAAACAGGAGTTGGAGACCAAATATATATTTCTTATATTATGTTACACCTTAAAACATGGCATTTAGCCTCTCCAAGCTGCTGTTTCTCTCATCTGTAAAACAGGGACAACAAGACATTTGAACTTTGGGTCCTGCCCCAAGCAGATCCTGAAGCAAAGATCTGTGGTTCCCTGTTCCTCCCAAGGTGGAACTTTGCTTCAGGCTGAGGCAGGAGGGTTGCAAGTTCAAAGTGAGACCCTGTCTCAAATTTTTTATTTATTTATTTTTCAGACAAAAATTGCATGTATTTCAATAGCTCAAACTGCAAATATAGCAAGTCAGTTCACAAAGTTTCAAAATACAGATTTAAGTATAAAGGAAGCTTACTGTACAAAACTGAAAGGGGAAATAGCAGAAATAAAGCTGAATTTTTTAAAAAAAATTCAAGTAATTTGAAAAACCTTTTGACTGAAATATTCCACCTACATCAAATCAGAAATGTTTTAATGTATAGACACCAACAGTGTATTGCAATAAAAAATGACTCCCTGAAGAATCATCCCAAACTGGTCAGTTCCAGCCAAGAGTTAAGAACTCTTTGTGTTGCCTGCTGCTGATTTGCTGGCTTCAGGCACTCGCTGTATCAGCTGCTGTAGTTCCATCCACGATATTTTAGTTTTCAGTGAATTCTAAAAAATGTTTCAAAGGCAAGGCCAATGTCATCATTAAGAATGGCCAGTACAGGGCCGGGGATTTAGCTCAGTGGTTCCGCCTCCTGCCTCACAAACTCAAGGTCCCAAGTTCGATCCCCAGTACCAAAAAAAAAAAAAAAAAAAGAATGGCCAGTACATATCTAACAGACTTAAAGTCATTGGTCTCTGGTAGCACTGGGGGAAAACACAGATAATACTTCTTTCAGTACTGAAAAACCTCTTCTTAAGGTTAGCAACATGGCTAACCTCAGGAAAACTGGACTTAAATATGTATGTATTTATTTATTTATACCTATGCAGAAGGTAGAAAACATTCCCACTAGGAAGATAGTTAAAGGTTGTTAATGTTCTTTTCATCACTTAGCAGCCAAGACACATGCTTATTTATGCTCTCTGAAAGCAATGTTAGCTACTACTCGCAATTCTGGAAACTGTAGGTCTCTGAGAAGGTCTGAGAGAGATTTATTGAGTTTTTTTTTCTGAATCTTCTTTATCTTTTCTTTATAAGCATTAAACTGAGAGTCTGGTCCAAAAAGCCTACCCTACCATGTAAATGTCAAGGCATAATTTCCAACGACGTTCATGTATTGGAAATCATGATGCTGGGAACTGGAATAGAAAGGGATGAAATTTAAAGGGTTGATAGGAATATCATAACCACTGTGGACATCAATAGTTGTTATCAAGGTCACCATCCCAAAGAACTACATGATCACACAAAAGCAAGATTCCAATGAAAAATTCAGCCCCAAGGATTAGGGTTTTCAAAGGATGTGCATATTCAGCTTCCAGTCCAAATGGAGCCTGAAACTCATGATGAACTTTATGAATATATTTATATATTCTTTTGTGGTGTAAGCATCTATGCAACAAATAGTGCCAGGCATCTTCAATGACCACACAACCCAAGCATCTTGCCAAAAGCGCATACGATCTTGACATTGTTTCCCATTCATAAGGAATGTTGAAATAGTCTGTAAAATAATAGGTTCCAGGGCCAGCGATGTAGTTCAGTGGTGCTGCACCTGCCTGGAAAGCCCAAGGTCCTCAGTTTGATTCCTGGTACCACAAAAAAAAGAAAGGTTCCACAAATCAAAGGCAGCTGGGTACAAAAATGATTAAAGAGAAGTTCTTTAAAAATTTCCACTTGCCTCTGAATGATTCTGGTTTATCCTTTTAGATTTTGTACTTTTTCATATAAGGTATAAATTTGAAATAAAAATCCAGGTAAACACAACAAGAAATAAGTGGCTTCATGATCTATAAGGGATCCCCATGTTGCAATCTGGAACTTTGTGTAATTATTGGACATATTTTTTTTTTGGTACCGGGGGTTGAACTCGGGTTCTTGTGCTTGAGCAGCAGGCAGCGAAACCACTGAGCTAAATCCCCGGCCCTTTCTTTGTGTAATTATT